CCACTGCAAGATCACGTAGTGAACTAACCTAATTGTACTCCCCTGGAACATATTCCTCTACAATTCAGAAAATTAATTGAAATGAAAATTCTAAAATGGGGAGATATCCTCTGAAAATAAATTGATTGAATTGACTATAGTGTTACTGCTGCTGTTCTGCTTAAAATAGATTTACTGGAGGAGGCAGAGCCTTGATTCAAAGCTGTATGCTACATCAATGCCATGTTTCGGGTAGTGCAAAACAATTATTTGTGGGTAAACACTGATCGCCGTTTGCGGTGAATAAAGTAACACCCAACATTTTCAATGCATATTTCCGCAATGGATGTGTAAACTAAAAAAGGTACATAAACATCGGTTGTGTTCTTTACCCTCCACTACACCACTGGTTTAGGGTGAACTAGCTGGCTTCGGAAATAAACTCACTTCCTGTGTGTCAACAGCCGGGCAGGATGTTGAGATGGAGAGAGATATTCCCAAAATGTCAGGGAGCTGATCGTTTGGGAGGGTAGGAAAATACTAATACCCTTTTGATCGACTTCCTGTCATTGATAATGAAAGCGTATTGTCTGTCCACTCTGTCTCCCCACACACCATTTGAATAGAGTGCTGTGACGATTTGACAAATTTCAAGTAAGTGCAGTTGTGTAATTTGAAAATGTCCTCCACAAAACGATTCAACTAAACTTGCTAAATTAACTTGTCTACATTCCCAACCAAAATAAATCCACTTCTGGCAACATGTTCTTCAAACTCAAGCCTAGTTTTTGTAATTCAGTCGTCGACAAGCAATTAGTTGTACCACAAATTACTCTTTATTTAGATGTTGAACCCTTTTAGGCCTATAGCTTCACTATGGTGGCCTCCAAGCTCATGTTTATGGGTGGCATCTGTCTCTTCAAAATGAATAGTGTCATTGGCAATGCTCATAACGAGTACTTCATGTATTTTTTATGTCAAACAGATGTACTTATAGGCTAGATTTGGGTTCTGCCGGAGGCAGGAAGTGTTTTGGGGTAATTAATGCTACCTAATATTTCCAATAAGTGGAAAAAACGGACTTCATTATTATAATCTTCCCCCTGTACACCTTGTGTTCTGCTGAGCCTATTGGAACTGTTTGCCGAAGCCATCAGTCTGTTCCTTGCATGTTTGGGCCTTGAAATCTGGTGCGTTAATTAAGGAGCTCTCAAGGGAATGCGAGGGAAATGCCTCGGCCATTGCATTCCAATCATTGCTTACTTGTCCAGAGTTCCTCATGGGGTCTTCTACTTTTTATTGGACTATGTTTAGTTAATGATAATGCTTTAAATTCATGTCAGGTTCCTTGGCCATGTCATCACTAGCATGTAATGGCTATTAAATACCCTAATCTACAGTACGGTTGACCTATGTACAAGCCCTTGACCCTTGCAATTGGAATAAATGTGTGTGGACTCAATGGCTGAGAAAATGGTGGGTGGGGATAAAACACTTTCAACGGGAAGTCCAGGTCAACCACCGCATGAGCATTTCATAGCACTTAATGTTATCACACTAAATCTGGACTCATGAATCACATGTATTAATGTTAACATGTATTATAATTTTTTATAAATTGATTGCAAATAAATTATATACAGTAGCTTATGAAAGTGACTTAGCTTTTATTTGATAGGAAGGTTTAGTAATCATTTTCACTTTTATTGCATATGTTTTGATTATGACTTGACGTGGCTACAGCTGCTGATGCAGGCTCTTCTTTTGCAGACATTGGCAATGCAGTCTCTCTATCCAAAATAACGTGGTTTGTCATTACTGGAATCCTTTTGTCATGCTTTTCATTTTTAAACTTTCCACACAACCCTCCCAAACCACAAAGTATTCAGAATAGAGCCCTGTCTGATTCCCACCAGCTTGTTCTTTGCGCTCACTTCCTTTTTTCATGCTTTGGATTCGAGACCTTTGCAATTTCAGCTGACATCCTTGCCAAAATCAGTGCGGATGTGAGAAGCTGAATTTGCACACTGTTAAAATGGCACTTGCTGCCATTGTCTTGGTATTTTAGTCTGTTTGCCCCATATTCTACCAGGTCCATAGTGAGTCACAAAGACTGACTTGTCTTATCGGTACTCTGTTTCATTGTGATGATGATGATGATTTGGCATTAGAGTGAATCTGTAGGCCTTCTAGGATTTTCAGGCTGGTGGTGTTTTACAAACAGACCGGTTGTTTAAACTTGGTTGGGTAACTAAAATAATGGACAAATGACCAACAGTGTTATTTTGGTGAGAGCGACTCCTCTCACAAGAGACCCTATATCTCTGTTGCATAAGATTTGTGACCGTTATGTACATGATTGCAGTGCTTACTGTACACGTAGAAAAGCTCTGAATTCAAGCGTGAAATTTCTTGGAAGTTTCACAATCAGACCGACTACATGGGTCAGATGAGAGAACATGCAAATTAGTCTTGGTTTGCTTTGTGGCGTGAAACTGCAAGTTAACGTGCTGGTCTTTGCTCCGCCTGGCTCTCATTTTGAACCAATGTGTCAGGCATTTTGCCCAATTCAACCTGTTTATAAATCAGAAAGATTTTGGGTAATTTAAACACTTTTTAAAAAACATTTTTACCAGAACCATACCTTGGTAGACGTTGGGAGTCAGAATCAAAGGGTTTCAGAAACGCTACATTAATTAGAATGTTGATAAACAATGAAAGTCTATGTTCACTAGTAGTTTTTTTTAGGCATCGGCTGTCGTTCCAAGTGTAATCCGAGCCATTTTAGTAGGTTATAGTTTTTGTCTGCTTCCTCTGCTGCTTTCTGACGGTAGTGTCTCCAGATGTTAGCAGAGCAAACGCAAGATTATGGTGTGCAGCTATGCAAGACTCTTATTACCATCTGTATTTTGTCTACCACAAGGTGCAATGCTCAGGTTGACTAACATCTTATTAATTCTGCACTTAAATAGATTTTTAAGGCTTTTAATACTTCCTGTGAATAGATGGTCAGTTTCCTCTCTACTACCCTTAGGGATGTGCCAGTCAGACATAGCAGGTTTACTGAAGATTTGGAGAGAGATGCGACATGCATTCAACCACATTCAGTTTCCCTTTTTATTTTAGACTGCACCTCTAGGTGTTGAGCGCATACCTCTTTTCTTTAGGCTTCTGTAGCAGCCTATATGACTGCTATATGCCTGTATAAGGTGCTTGCGGAGCTGGGATTCATTTCAATTCAGTTTCCTCTCATGAAATCCAGGAAGTGAAAAGCATGCTGCTGCTGAGTCAATAGCTTTTTTGCTTTGAAACTGATATGAAAGGAGGATGACGAGTATAATTCAAATACCCCCCCCCCCATTTCACAAGCAGAGAGCAGGTAGCATTGTTCCATTTTCAGAAATGTGTAATCTTAGATATAACTATAAGGAAAAATATATAAGTCAACAAACCTAGCAGCACTTTAGGTTACAGTGAAATGCAGACTAGTTATTACTGTCTTTTTCTGTGATTTAGTTAATGGATATTTAGTTTGATCTGTTGAAAATGATTTGGTTTGTATGACAAATAATTACACTAAAATATTTATAGACATCAATTGCCAAGCAACCGTTTGGCAAGTGATTGTTTTGAATATTGTATTGCGGGAACGGCCCCCTAAAGTCACATGGGTTGCTTCAAAATCAGAGTACAGGGTCTCAATGGATTTTACAGGTAAGATAGGTTGGTGCTTGTATAATCAGCCTTTTGCACATACAATGCACCTAGAGAGAGTGCGTGTGACGGTTGGCTTTTATTCTGTGTCCTGGCTGACAGCCGTCTAAGCTGAACTCTACTCAAGTGCTTGTGTTACAAATGGTGTCATCAGATTATCTGCCATCTGCCCGGTAGAGTTGAAACCGGGATTCATCCGTGAAGAGCACACTTCTCCAGCGTGCCAGTGGCCATCGAAGGTGAGCATTTGGCCACTGAAGTCGGTTACGGCGCTGAACTGCATTCTGGTCAAGACCCTGGTGAGGACGACGAGCACGCAGTTTTAGTGGCATTTTAGTGGCATTTTGTCCCCAGCACAAGGTGCATCTGTGTAATGATCATGCTGTTTAATCAGCTTATTGATATGCCACACCTGTCAGGTGGATGGATTATCTTGGCAAAGGAGAAACGCTCACTAACAGGGATGTGCACAAAATATGAGAGAAATAAGCTTTTAGTGCGTATGGAATATTTCTGGACTCTTTTATTTCAGCTCATGGGACCAACACACATTACATGTTGCGTTTATATTTTTGTGTAGCTACTGTTGTCATAGTACGGTTGCTCAGTTGGTAGAGCATGGCGCTTGCAACGCCAGGGTTGTGGGTTTGATTCCCATGGGGGGCCAGTATGAAAAATGTATGCACTCACTAACTGTAAGTCGCTCTGGATAAGAGTGTCTGCTAAAATGACTAACATAATTGGTGAAATCTTATCAGTGCTAGCAGCAGATCTCCTCTTGCGTTTTCAGTGACGCACCATCTTCAGTTTGTGTGAGTGAGAGCGAGAAATCTGTGTGTGTTTGTGTGTAAGGCCTGTATTTGAGGGTGCATGAATGACCTGATGAGATCTGGCATGAGAGCACAGTCTCATGGCACTGATGGAAAGGTGCCAGAAGGCATCAGCTTTCACTACAGGCCAGATGGCATGGGAGCCCTACCAAAGGCAAAATAATGCCCAGGATGCATGTGCTATCCTCAGACGTTTGTGACAACAGCCTGAACATAAACACTGGGTGCAACCTATCCTGGGCTGTGCCAAACAACAGCACCACAAGGACTGGTGGGTCAAAGTGACGAGCGCCTGTCCCAGGAAGTTTGTCATTAGCTCACCACAACGCCTTGATTCTGTGGAACTGGTTGTTCAAAATAGCATTTGCCCACACTTATTCACTCACTCGCAAGCAATCAGACACACACACACACACACACAATAATATGCCAATAGGACCCTACAGTGACCACTTTTTCCCCCACTCTCTCCCCTAGACTTGATCCACTGCACCAATGAGATGAACGTGAACATCCCTCAGCTGGCAGACACGTTGTTTGAGCGTACGGCCAGCACCAGTTGGGTGGTGGTCTTCAAGTGTCTCACCACCACACACCACACCATGGTCTACGGTAACGAGGTGAGCGAAACCTTTCTGCAACTCCACTGTGTAGGCTGAAGCTGCCCCTACTCTGATATAGGGCCATTAACACTAATGGTTAAGGTTAGGACTGGGGGAGAAGAATCTGATCTTGTACCTGGGGATTTTTTTCAACCCGGAGCTCTGCAACTCAACACTTCCAGCAGAGCCATATGTAGAATGGATCTGACGCCTTGGTGATCAGAGAGGCATGTCATGCAAGACACAGACTCTGAATTCCAATCAACCCCTATCTTGCCATACTTACTGTAATTGTACCATTGTAACATGCTCTACTCCTGGTGATACCTATCTCTCTTAATTATGATGTCATGAAATATTTTACGTATAAAAAATAACTAAAATCAGTGTCAGAAGTGACACTAATAGTGTGGTGTTAAGGTATTTTGAAATCCTTTTAAAACTAGTGGTTTGAAAAGTGTCAGCAATATCCAGTCCACAGAATTGTGTAATTTTATCACACTTCTTCTTTTGAGAAGGCTCTCTTATGTAACATTGCTATGCATTTTCAAAAGCGGTTATGTCTTGTATTGCTGTTGGTGAATGCAAAAGATTGACTATCTATGAAGGTTTGTACACATGTTTCTGTGTTGCAGAGATTTATTCAGTACATGGCTTCAAGGAATACGCTTTTCAACCTCAGTAACTTTTTGGACAAAAGTGGCCTACAAGGTGAGTAACGTCAGCTCTGCACAAACTTTGCTGTAGCACTCTGTATTTTATCACGGGTTCAGTATCGTCTTAACTGTATGAGGTGAAATGCGGCAGTATCTTAAAGATGCTACACATTTGAATTTTTGCATTGTAATTTCTGAAAATGTCCATAATATATCTGCTGCTAATAGTAGAATGCTAGTGTTTCACAGTATTACTTACCCGCCAGTGTTGTGATATTTGCCTATTGATTTCTCCCACTGGAGCTGCATCTGTTGTCAAACTGGGAAAGCTGTTCTGACTTTGGCTGTGTTATCTAGTGAAAATATAGTTTTTACAGCTGTTTGAGTCTGGTGGACCAAAACCGAAAGTAACTTTTCGTTTTAGTCCACCAGCTTCAAACAGCTGTAAAATGATACTTGTTGTTAATGGAAAGATATTTCACAGCGATTTTAGATGGTACAATGATTCCCTAAACTATTCAGTGCTTGTTTTCTCACATAAACTGAACTTGAGCGAACAGTGTAGAATGACTGAGCGATTCCCAGTAGATAACGCAGCCACAAAGTCAGAACAGCTTTCCCAGTTTGACAACAGATGCCGCTCCGGCGGGAGAAATCGATCACAGCCAATCACAACACTGGCAGGTAAGTAATAGTGTGAAACAATATCATTCCACTATTAGCGCCAGATATATTATGGACAGTTTCTGAAATTACAATGCAAAAAATCTATAAACATCCTATGTGTAGCACCTTTTTTAAGGCATTCAGATATAATGAGACCTGCAAAACAAATGAGAGATGCGGAGAACTGTTCTTTTAGACAGTTCTGCCCTTTTCCCCCTCGCTCTATTCCCAATGAAATGGCAACATGGCCGACTCAGCTCACATCAAGCCCAGCAGAATGTATTTACTGAAGGTTGTTTCCCATGTTAACAAGATGCTTGGAAGCCCAGACCAGTGGGACTTTCAAGTGGGAGTATAATGGTAGAGTAAGCGCCCCTAATCATAACCCATATGCCTTTTGTCAAGTTGTGTTAATTATAAATGAGGGTTATAGGGAGCTGTCAGTTTGTTTAAGGATGATGGTACCGGTGCCCCCGCACATTGACTCTGCACCGGTATCCCCCTGTATATATAGCCTCCCTACTGTTATTTTATTTTACTTCTGCTCTTTTTTTCTCAACACTTTTTTGTTGTTTTATTTTACTTTTTTATTAAAAATAAATGCATTGTTGGTTAAGGGCTGTAAGTAAGCATTTCACTGTAATGTCTGCACCTGTTGTATTCGGCGCATGTGGCCAATACAATTTGATTTGATGACTGGATTTAGGTTGGAGTATAGCGCTCATGACAGAAATCCACTAGATGGTGAGCTGTTGGCGACAGCCTGTTGGGCCTTTGCTTTAGGAGAAATATGGGACAGACTATATTTACGATACATACAGTATTTATGCTAGTTCATGGTCATTTCCATATCTTGTTGTAAGTAGTGTTGTCACAATACTCAGTATTGCAGTTGCGAAAAAAATCAGAAATCAGGAAACGGACTGAATGTTCAATAGCTTGGAAAATAAACGTGACAGCCTTATGAGTCCCATTTGTTTATTTTTCAAGCTTTTGCACACACTATTTCACATAAAACAGGTTTTCCTCAATAAAGGGCCATACAATTCAGTCAGTTTTCTTTTTCCATGTAAGGCTTTCACAAGTATCATGATAGTATGACATTGGTATCATGGCAACACTGGAACACACACTTCAAGTGTCCTAAAGTCTGCCTGTATATTTGTCCGACGGCATATAGCACATAAATCCACCAAAACCTCAGGAGTCGTGACTTCCCTAAATCAATGGAAGAATGTGCTTTCGCTTATTCAAGCTCAAATGCATCCCTTATTTTCCCTAATAACAAGTTAAGAGTATATGCTTGTTGTTAGAAAATATGGTAATGTGGCAGTTAACTACCGTGAGATGTATATCACGATCAAGATGCACCTGATGCTCAAAGAGTAATTCCCCTATTGTCTTTTTCAGGCTATGACATGTCAACGTTCATAAGGAGGTATAGTCGCTACCTGAATGAGAAGGCTGTGTCGTATCGACATGTCGCTTTTGACTTTACAAAAGTGAAACGAGGGTAAGGACTTTAATTATCTATTCACATTTCCTTATAGCATCAGGCTCAGCTAGCATCCTCCGTATTGTATAAATACTATACAGTCGAGTCCTGAGAAGTGTTTAGGATATTTTTTGGCATATTGCTTATTCTTCCACAAGTGCATATAGTTTAGGGGTTGATTTGGCATCTGTGTAAGTGCATTCTTTTAAATTGCGTGCTTTAGTTTAGTACACACATTCATGACAGTCCAAAGCCATTAGTATTGGGCCCTTAATGATTGGAAAATTATCTTTACACAAGGGCGGATGGCGTTATGAGAACCATGAACACAGAGAAGTTACTGAAGACCATACCCATTGTCCAAAACCAGATGGATGCTCTACTTGATTTCAACGTGAGTTTTCAATGCTTGACATTTTGTACATTGTTGTATTGCTATGGCCTAAAACTCTTCAGCTCTCATATGTCAAAGTATTGCAAAAAACATAGTCGATGATTGAGTAGTCGATCTTTTAGCTCTGTCCTGTGGATTGGGAGCTCTGTGAGTCGGACCAATGAGTGCTCGATGGGTTGACTGTCAATTAAATGAATGTGCTTTGGATTCCCCCTCCATCTCCAGGTCAACGCCAACGAGCTCACCAACGGAGTGATCAACGCGGCCTTCATGCTTCTGTTCAAAGATTCCATTCGACTGTTTGCGGCCTACAATGAAGGCATTATCAACCTGCTGGGTAAGTGCTTCTGCCTTCCGGCTCTCAAAAGGCTCTCTCCTGCCAAAAGCAAGTCCTTATTGCCGTATCATCGTTACCATTGAGCACTTTGATAATGCAAAGACACCTTTGATGATGCACCCTGTCTTACGGAGTTCATACTGTATCCCTGGCCTCAAATGTTTACCACCACTCACTATCAGGCTGCTCCACGCTACCAGGCTGACTTAACGGGGGCCGACCAAGGGCAGTGCTACTACTCTGTTTTGCTCTAGTGTTCTAGTTGTGCTGGGTGACATAAGGTCTGTGTTTATAGGTTAGGGGTTGGGTGAATTCCCTTTTTGAACTGAGCCATTCTATTTGATTTCTGAAACACATAAAAAAATCTAGTTTCCAATTCTTCTCATTCATATTAAATATGTTTCCTGAAGGGACTGTGTTAAAATGTAATTGAGCCCAATGCTGGTGGAGAGACTGGTCTTTCACACAGTCTGAATTCAACTACTCTGTGCTGGCTGTCTTTCACACAGTCTGAATTCAACTACTCTGTGCTGGCTGTCTTTCACACAGTCTGAATTCAACTACTTTGTATATCTGTGCATGTGTGATTTTTGTCTGTTGGGAATGGAAATAATGTCTAATGTGGGGGGGATCAAATTGGAGATGAGCAAACATCAGTGAGAGGTTTACAAGCCCCTCTGGAGAGTTTGTATACATCCTGCAGACATCCACATTTTAACTGCCAAGTTTCTGATTTGAGAAAACCGTTACTTCTGGAATTATACTATAGAAAATTAAACCTCTCTCCCATTCATTTGTAAAGGCTGTTTTAATTGTTTGATACAGTTTATCCTGATTTTATAAAATGTCTGTTCATACCAGAGTTTTTATCACTGCTATTTTGCTTCAGTTCCAGTGCTCCATTATAATTTTCCTGTCTATTCATTTCACAGAGAAGTACTTTGACATGAAGAAAACTCAATGCAAGGAGGGCCTTGACGTCTACAAGAAATTCCTCACTCGAATGACGAGAATCTCTGAATTCCTCAAAGTAGCAGAGGTAAGATCCCTCCTTTGCAAACTTCTGTGTGATAAGATAATTTTTTACTCCTACATTCACTTTTACCTCCATGTCATCTTGACCCTCCTCTCTTCTTCCTTTCAGCAAGTAGGGATTGATCGAGGGGACATCCCAGACCTCTCCCAGGTAAGATGCTAAAAGCAAGGTAAAAGCAAACTCTGCTGCCAGCATCCTCACCCGCACCAGATCAACTGAACACATCACACCAATACTCCACAATCTACAATGGCTCCCTGTGCAATCCCGTATTGACTTTAAGACACTCCTCCTCACCTACAAAGCCCTCCACAACCTGGCACCCACCTAACTCTCTGACCTTCTCCCAGCCTATGCCCCCTCCCTCCGCTCTGCTGGTTTCGTTGTCACCCCCACATTCCGCCTCTCCCCCATAGGTGCCAGGGCCTTCAGCTGCTTGGCACACAGGCTCTGGAAAGCACTCCCCCCACACATATGACATGCAGACACAGTTATCGAATTCAAAACCCACCCCTTAGAGAGAACTTATAGCCTAGTGTCCATGATTGACTCTGTCCTTCGTAACCTATTCCCAACCCTACCCCCTAAACTGGGTTCGTATCCTATTCCCAACCCTACCCCCTAAACTGGGTTTGTATCCTATTCCCAACCCTACCTCCTAAACTGGGTTCGTATCCTATTCCCAACCCTACCCCCTAAACTGGGTTCGTATCCTATTCCCAACCCTACCCCCTAAACTGGGTTTGTATCCTATTCCCAACCCTACCTCCTAAACTGGGTTCGTATCCTATTCCCAACCCTACCCCCTAAACTGGGTTCGTATCCTATTCCCAACCCTACCCCCTAAACTGGGTTTGAATCCTATTCCCAACCCTACCTCCTAAACTGGGTTCGTATCCTATTCCCAACCCTACCCCCTAAACTGGGTTCGTATCCTATTCCCAACCCTACCTCCTAAACCGGGTTCGTATCCTATTCCCAACCCTACCCCCTAAACCGGGTTCGTATCCTATTCCCAACCCTACCCCCTAAACCGGGTTCGTATCCTATTCCCAACCCTACCCCCTAAACCGGGTTCGTATCCTATTCCCAACCCTACCCCCTAAACTGGGTTCGTATCCTATTCCCAACCCTACCCCCTAAACCGGGTTCGTATCCTATTCCCAACCCTACCCCCTAAACCGGGTTCGTATCCTCTACCCAACCCTACCCCCTAAACTGGGTTCGTAGCCTCTACCCAACCCTACCCCCTAAACTGTGTTTGTAGCCTCTACCCAACCCTACCCCCTAAACTGGGTTCGTAGCCTCTACCCAACCCTACCCCCTAAACTGGGTTTGTAGCCTCTACCCAACCCTACCCCCTAAACTGGGTTCGTATCCTCTACCCAACCCTACCCCCTAAACTGGGTTCGTAGCCTCTACCCAACCCTACCCCCTAAACTGGGTTCGTAGCCTCTACCCAACCCTACCCCCTAAACTGGGTTCGTAGCCTCTACACAACCCTACCCCCTAAACTGGGTTCGTAACCTCTACCCAACCCTACCCCCTAAACTGGGTTCGTATCCTCTACCCAACCCTACCCCCTAAACTGGGTCCGTATCCTCTACCCAACCCTACCCCCTAAACTGGGTCCTTATCCTCTACCCAACCCTACCCCCTAAACTGGGTTCGTATCCTATTCCCAACCCTACCCCCTAAACGGGGTTCGTATCCTCTACCCAACCCCTCCATCCCTCTTTTTATCGGCCCTGTTTTGTCTGGTCCTTTGATTTTAAATTGCACTTTTAATTGATGCACTTGATTTTATGTAGGCCTACTTTTAATGTCCTTGAGTATCTTGAAAGGCGTTCCCCAAATAAAATGTATTATTAGTATTTATCCCTTTCCTCTCTCTCTGCCTGAAAGTGCAGCGGGTCTGAGACGGAGCCCTGCCGGACCCCTCAGCTTGACTTTACTTTAAACCACCCCCCCACCCCCCCTCAGTGTGCTGGCTGCCGGCCTCTCTCACCACCCTGCTACCTGCTGCAGTTTCAGACCTTCCAAAATGCTCCACAGCTCTGTACCTATGCACCGCTATAGCTATAACGCATTGCTTGCTGGGCCCACACTGCATGTAGCCCCGTCATAGAGGAAATGACAGACTCAGTCCCTGTCCGAATACTTTCAAAATGCTTCTTTCCTTCCTCCCTTCAAATAATCACAGATCTGATTTGGTTGGATTGGTGAAAGCAATAGCAATGGGCTGATAACCTTTCTCTCATCTATCCAATCACTTCTAAGACGTGTGATCAAGGCAGGGAGAAAGGAAGGGTGCACTTTATTTGCATTCGAACAGGGCCTCACTCTCCCCTGACCTTGCACGGCATACAGCACATAAAGGTGTCAACATCTGCCTTTGTCAAGGGCTATACCGAGTAGGCTAGAGCTGAGATGAAATGAGTGGGAGGTAAATAATACACCCAAGGTATTCTATTATACCATTACATGTCACCTTTCAAGAAGGGCCACATTTTCTATGGGGTTAGCTATAGGTAACTGCCAAAATAAAGGAAACGCCAACATAGTGTCTTAATAGGGCGTTGGGCCCACCACGGGTTGGCAGAACAGCTTCAATGCACCTTGGCATAGATTCTACAAGTGTCTGGAACTATTGGAGGGATGCGACGCCATTCTTCCACAAGAAATTCTATCATTTGGTGTTTTGTTGATGGCGGTGGAAAACGCTGTCTCAGGCCCAGTTCTGGGCCCAGTTTTTCAAAAATGATCTATCTGGATTTTGCCTCTCGGATTAAATGCATTGATATAGAATGAATAGAACGGGAGTCCCCATTTAAGACAATGATTCGTCCCCTCTATTCATTCTATTCCTATGCATTTAATCCTATCCGATAGGTGAAATTCAGATCAAAAACTGGGCCCTGGTGACTGAGACACACACACACACACACACACACACACACACAGCATATGTTTTACTATCCTTATGGGGACCTAAAATGTATTTACACTCCTATTTTCCCTAAACCTTACCCTAATTCTAACCTTAACCGCTAACACTAAACCTAACCCCTAAGCCTAAAATAGCCTTTGTCCTCATGGGGACCTGGGAAATGTCCCCAGGAGGGAGAATTTTCCTTGTTTTACTATCCTTGTGGGGATTTCCGGTAGCCACACCCTTTAACTAAAACAATATAAAGTCCCCTGTTTAGGGGACCTGCATGGTTCTGGTACCGGTTCCGACCGACATTTCCTCTTATAAATGTATCTGTGGACACCGAAGAACGATGCGGCTTGCATTGAGTGGTAGCCCTGATTCTCACGGACGCAGGAGTATGTCTATTCTGCCTGTATGAAGCAGGATGTGAAATCTGACTCCACTTGAAGCTAGGATGTCCCTCCTACCATTTCATTCGCTCTTTGGACTTCAGAGATCGGTTTTATAGCCAGTAATCTAAAATGATTTATAGATTTTAAACAAACACTTTGTTTGTCATAGACGGACAAGATTAATATGAGATGAATGGTGAGTTCGTAGCGAGTTCAGGAAGGCAAGCTAGAGCTCTGTGACGTTCACAGCGATGTGGGCAGACGTTTTGATCAAGAGAGACCTTTTAGAAAATATACACATTTTCTCTAACATGAAATATACAAATGTATTTTACAGTTATAAGGAAGGTGTAATCTTAGTTGTTTTATAAATTGATTATCATTCATACAGTTTTGTTGAATAGGAAATAAGTCATATAAAATGTCATTTGATCATATTTGTACTGTTTACTTGAGCTTGTGTCCTCAAAAGTGACTACACCTCAGCAATTTATAACTATTTTTACCAGAAAGGTGAGATTGTAACCTTTCTTAGAGTATGCAGCATTATTAGTTATTGTTTATGGCCCTCTCATGATAAATAATTACTTTTGGTGATTACGTAGATTACATTTAGTTACATTTAAGAGGATTTAACCCCCCCCCCCCCCCCCCCCATGGTAGCCAAAATAATGGGCAACTGGGTATTTTTATACATGGACTGTTAATTGCTTAATTAACTCAGGAACCACATCGATGTGGAAGCACCTGCTTTTAATATACTTTGTATACATAATTTACTCAAGGGTTTCCTTTATTTTGGCATTTACCTGTATATCTCTCACTTACATATCTAATCATAGAATAACAAGTTTAACATTATGTTTTTACTTTTCTTATGACCATGTTCAGATGGTGCTTTACCAAGACAAGCAGTATTTTACAAGGTCCCTCATTTTTGCTTTGTATTTGGACGGTTTTGGATTTAAATAGATATTCCTTTAGTTACAGTAGGTACCTTTTTTCTCCCAAAACCTATTTTATTATCTCTGACAATTACCACCTTTATATTCTGTATCTTTCCTTAACTTTCCATCTTCAGATAACAGTTTGTGTAAGTATCTGTATCTCACTCTCTTTCTGTGTTTTGTAAGCCTAGTACGTTCTCTTTGTGTGCATTGTGAAATAGCTGAGCATGCTTACTGTTTGTGTTTCCGTCTGCTGTTACCTGGTTGTGATTTTAAAAAATGTTCCTCCAAACTTTGAACTCACTGTGTCTTTCCATTATCATAGGCCCCCAGTAGCCTCTTAGATGCCTTGGAGCAGCATTTGGCTTCTTTAGAAGGGAAGAAGGTGAAAGATTCAACAGCAGCCAGCAGGTAGGCCTTTTCCCTTCCCTTTGCTCACTGCCAACTGCCAGTACAATGCAGTCCACTCAGACAAAGCCTGTTTGCTCAGACACCACATTTAGCAAGTGGGTTTGAGTTGGAGCTGACGTGTTTGTTGGTGGGCAGCAATCCCAACAATATGTTTTGTTACTGTGGTCCGATGTATGCTTTTCATTTGTGTTTTGCCAGTTGTTTCCTTGAAAATATTGACAAATGCACCGGGAGCTACAGTTGCAGTGTTTTTATCTTCAATCTATGCAAGTCCTATATTGTTAATAATATCAGGGGCATTAGATTTTTGTTTCTTTTTTGTGTCTTTTGAATGCACTATAATTATGTGCACTGACCATCAGTGCTCATACAGGTTTTCTGTTTAGTGTATTATAAAATGGAACTATCCCACTCAAGCAGAAATCCTTTCTATGTTATGCCAACCTCCTGTTTAATATTGTAGCCCTCAACTATCAAAGTGCAGTTGTAAAAATATGCACCACTTTCTATTACTGAGCTTGTAGAACTCTGCTAATGCCAGCACAGCACTTTTGACAATTTTTCCCCCACTAACTGACCCCTGTCTCTCTCTCTCTTCCTCTTTTTCTGTCCATCAAGGGCTAGCACACTCTCCAACGCCGTCTCCTCTCTGGCCAACACGGGCATATCTTTCACCAAAGTGGACGAGAGGGAAAAACAGGCAGCTCTGGAGGAAGAGCAGGCTCGCCTAAAAGCGCTGAAGGTACATTTTCCTTCTAGTGCCCTCGCTCTCTCTGCTTATTGCCCTACTGGGTTTAATCTGTTCTGGCTTTTCAGCATTTTGGGATCTTTTTTTAGCTCATAGGTTGTTCTCATGAGGTCATCAGTCATTGCCTGATGATTCCAGTGACTCCCTACCGCCATTTAAATTAAGTTAAAAATTAACATTTTCAGAGCTTGTATTTTAATTGATCTGGCCAGTATACTCTAGGTAGGCCTGGGTGTTCGGTTTTGTTGAATTTGTCCTGTTCCACTTAGGAGCATCGTCTAAAGGAACTCCAGAAGGGGCCTTCTTTCTCTGCCACCACGGCTGCCTCCCCTGTGTCCATGGACGGAGGGACCATCAACACAGCACCGGCCATCGACCTCTTCTCCACGCCCAGCTTCACAAACAGGTGAGAGCACCCATTCTATCCTAGCCCTTAGCCATATCCATGCCACACATGGCTGTCTCAGTCACCAGATCTCAACCCAATGGAACTCTTATGGGAGATTCTGGAGTGGTGCCTGAGACAGCGTTTTCCACCACCATCAACAAAACCCCAAATGATGGAATTTCTCCTGGAAGAATGGTGTAGCATCCCTCCGATAAAGTTCCAGACACTTGTAGAATCTATGCCAAGGTGCATCGAAGCTGTACTGGCTCGTGGTTGCCCAACGCCCTACTAAGACACTATGTTGGTGTTTCCTTCATTTTGGCAGTTATCTGTAGTGGTTTTATGTACCCATGTCTACTATTGTAATTACATTCTGTTAAGTACACATCAACATTCCAGCGCACACGCACATTAATGTAAAAGTGGCGGAGTTGGCCGAAATACTAGGTTACATGCATAGTGCCCAGGCACTGATATAATCATAGCTCCTTGTGGAGTTTATGGTTATGTCCCAAATGGCACCCTATTCCCTATAAAGTACACTACCTTTGACGAGAGCCCTATAGGGAATAGTATCTTATGTTTACATTTGCTTACCCATTCAGTTGTTTCAGATCTTTGAGTGGGGAATTAATAATAGCCTAGTGGTTGAGGTTGTTGAATTTAGAATGGGCAAACCTCCCCCTCATTCCACACTAGCAAGCCACTGCTCAGTAGCTCAGGGCCTATTCCTAGAGAAGCCAGACTAGACAGTCAGTGCTATGTAACCGTAGAGCCAAACACTATTAATAGGCCTGCCCATCTATTCTTACACGCTCCTTCCTGTGCCTTTGCCCACCTAATGAAACTGATGCCAGTGGAACGCATCTGTAGTGCCACAGCTGCACGAATGTCAATGTACTTCTCAAAAATAATCTCATGCATAAATGTAAGCATTAAAAATAAGAATTATTCAATTGTAGCTCCAACGTAAAGGTGAATGGCAAGGGTGCTGTTGCTTAACTGCACGGCTAGAACGTATTGCATTCCCATGTTAGAAGCAGATCATGGTAGCTGTTCAAGGAGCCTTTCTGGCTGTACAGAGGGTATTGATTGCATGTGACTTTCAGAGAGACCACCGTTTCTCCCACTCGACTGCTTAAAAATGACTGCAGAGTTTGTCTTCAGTGTGTGTGCTTAAAATGTTTGGGATTGTTTTAACCCTTTTTTTTGTAGGTGAGGGGTGGGAGTAAGGAATAGGTAGAAAGTCCCCCCCCCCCCCCCCCCATCCTCTGCTAGATACAACTTCTACCTTGAGCGTTATGAAAACCTTTTGAAAAGGCTACGGTAGAGTTTGGGGTTTTGCTTTTGGGAGACTGTGTCTTTTTGTCTTTTCTACTTCTCTTCCTCCTCCCCACTCAAGCACTTCCAAGGCGGCGAGCGACCTGCTGGACTTGCAGCCTGCGTTTCAGCAGCAGGCACTGCCCATCTCCAGTGGCCTACCGACAGCCAACACATGGGGAGGTGAGAGCTCCCGTCACACCGTGGATGCCTGTTTTACACCCCTTATTGACTCTACATACATACAGACACACACACACTCTTTCATTGTATTTCTCTGGGTAAACTAATGTGATAGGCCTGTACAAATGTCATAGTGGATACATGTCCAAGCAAGCCTGTGCCTACTTAAACAGCTTATTAACTTAAGTTTGCTGGTGGGGGATATACAGTGGCTTGCGAAAGTATTCACCCCCCCTTGGCATTTTTCCTATTTTGTTGCCTTACAACCTGGAATTAACCAGATTTTTTGGGGGGGGGTTTGTATCATTTGATTTACACAACATGCCTACCACTTTGAAGATTCGAAATAAGACAAAAAAACAGAGAACTTGAGCGTGCATAACTATTCACCCCCCCCCCCCCCCCAAAGTCAGTACTTTGTAGAGCCACCTTTTGAAGTAATTACAGCTGCAAGTCTCTTGGGGTATGTCTCTATAAGCTTGGCACATCTAGCCACTGGGATATTTGCCCATTCTTCAAGGCAAAACTGCTCCAGCTCCTTCAGGTTGGATGGGTTCCGCTGGTGTACAGCAATCTTTAAATGATACCACAGATTCTCAATTGGATTGAGATCTGGGCTTTGACTAGGCCATTCCAAGACATTTAAATGTGTCCCCTTAAACCACTCGAGTGTTGCTTTAGCAGTATGCTTAGGGTCATTGTCCTGCTGGAAGGTGAACCTCAGTCCCAGTCTCAAATCTCTGGAAGACTGAAACAGGTTTCCCTCAAGAACTTCTCTATATTTAGCGCCATCCATCATTCCTTCAATTCTGACCAGTTTCCCAGTCCCTGCCGATGGAAAAACATCCCCACAGCATGATGCTGCCACCACCATGCTTCACTGTGGGGATGGTGTTCTCGGGGTGATGAGAGGTGTTGGGTTTGCGCCAGACATAGCGTTTTCCTTGATGGCCAAAAAGCTCAATTTTAGTCTCATCTGACCAGAGTACCTTCTTCCATATGTTTGGGGAGTCTCCCACTTGCCTTTTGGCGAACACCAAACGTGTTTGCTTATTTTTTTCTTTAAGCAATGGCTTTTTTCTGGCCACTCTTCCGTAAAGCCCAGCTCTGTGGAGTGTACGGCTTTAGGTGGTCCTATGGACAGATACTCCAATCTCTGCTGTGGAGCTTTGCAGCTCCTTCAGGGTTATCTTTGGTCTCTTTGTTGCCTCTCTGATTAATGCCTTCCTTGCCTGGTCCGTGAGTTTTGGTGGGTGGCCCTCTCTTGGCAGGTTTGTTGTGGTGCCATATTCTTTCAATTTTTTAATAATGGATTTAATGGTGCTCCGTGGGATGTTCAAAGTTATTGATATTTTTTTATAACCCAACCCTGATCTGTACTTCTCCACAACTTTGTCCCTGACCTGTTTGGTCTTTATGGTGCCGCTTGCTTGGTGGTGCCCCTTGCTTGGTGGTGCCCCTTGCTTAGTGGTGTTGCAGACTCTGGGGCCTTTCAGAACAGTTGTATGCATGTATGTATGCATGTATATGTGTGTGTGTGTATGTATGTATGTATGTATGTATGTATGTATGTATGTATGTATGTATGTATGTATGTATGTATGTATGTATGTATGTATGTATGTATGTATGTATGTATGTATGTATGTATGTATGTATGTATGTATGTATGTATGTATGTATGTATGTATGTATGTATGTATGTATGTATGTGTATGTATGTATGTATGTATGTATGTATGTATGTAGTTGTATGTATGTATGTATGTATGTATGTATGTATGTATGTATGTATGTATGTATGTATGTTGATATGTATGTATGTATGTATGTATGTACTGTATGTATGTATGTTGTATGTATGTATGTATGTGTATGTATGTCTGTAGTTTATGATGTATGTATGTTATGTATGTATGTATGTTTATGTATGTATGTATGTATTTGTATATGTATGTATGTATGTACTGATGTGATGTATGTATGTATGTATGTATGTATGTATGTATGTATGTTGTTGTTGTATGTTGTATGTTGTTGTTGTATGTTGTATGATGTTGTATGTATGTATGTATGTATGTATGTATGTATGTATGTATGTATGTATGTATGTATGTATGTATGTATGTATGTATGTATATAATGGTGGACTTTATTTAACTAATTATTTGACTTCTGAAGGTAATTGGTTGCACCAGATCTTTAGGGTCTTCATAGCAAAGGGGGTGAATACATATGCACGCACCGCTTTTCCGTTATTTATTTCATTCCACTTCACCAATTTGGACTATTTTGTGTATGTCCATTACATGAAATCCAAATAAAAATCCATTTAAATTACAGATTGTAATGCAACAAAATAGGAAAAACGCCAAGGGGGATGAATACTTTTGCAAGGTACTGTAACTTGTGTATTTGACCTAACTCCTGAAAGCTATTGGTGAACTTGAATTAGAAATTGGGTGGTAAGGCCGCTCTCTTAATATCAGCTAAAGTCGATCAACAGTTAAATCACAGTTAGGTAGTTTGCTAGACAAACTGTCAGCAACTCTGGCCCATTTGTATCATGACTGTAAACTTATTTATTCATAGTATTATTCAAGTTATTAATTTACCTGATTGCTATGACACCTTTTGTCCTTCATTCATTACATTTTAGTCATTTAGCAGACGCTCTTATCCAGAGCGACTTACAGTTAGTGAGTGCATACATTTTCATACTGGCCGCCCGTGGGAAACGAACCCACAACCCTGGCGTCGCAAGCGCCATGCTCTACCAACTGAGCTACAGGGGAGCTACACTTGACTGTTCCGGTTGTCATTCATGGCATTGGTATTTAAACTTCATGACGGAGGTGCCAAATTAAGAGGCACCTTTATCTTGAGTGCCTTGTAATGTTGTGTGTGCTTTGGAATTCAGGGTCTTGTGTCAATGGAAAGTAAATAATGATAAGGTTGAAATGATTAGATACAAACCAACCTAACTGTGTTTGTCTTTTCACTTACAAATACACCAAGTTTGGTGTCCCTCAACTAAAAACATTGTTCTTTGTTGTGTTTTATTCTAATACTGTAGTCATTGAGGGAGTGGTGGTTCTCTCATACTGTGACATACAGTGTGAATTTACTGTTACTTTTTGCCGGTCCTGCAAAGTTCCAGGTTTTTATAGTTTTATCAAGTATACTTTTTAAAAACCTTTACAACAAATGTGCTGCATTGGTTCAATTTTAATATTTGGTTTCCAGATGTACTTGTCAGAAGAACTAGTGGATACCATTTGTATGTTTCTGTGTCTAGTATGAAGGAAGTTAGAGGTACTTTCGCAAGCCAATGCTAACTAGCGTTAGCGCAATGACTGGAAGTCTATACCCATAGACTTCCAGTCATTGAACTAATGCTAGTTAGGACTGGTTCGCGGAAGTACCTCTAACTTCCTTTATACTGGACACAGAGACATAAAAATGGTATCCACAAGTTCATCTGACTCTGGGGAAGTAGATAAAGGGCCTCTGCCAAAATCCCGACGTGTCCCTTTTAAGGCGCTGTCTTTGTTTCATGTCAAGTGAACATTTTGGACTGGTGCACATGTTTAGTATATAGCCTTTGGTGTAAACACACTATGGGGTTAGATGCATGTGATGAAAGAACCTGCTTCATGTCAAATATTGCTTGCTATAGCTTAGATACAATTATTGTGACTCTGGGTGACAACATAAGGCTGTTTTATCTCCTTGCAATGATACTTTGAGTATTTGTGATACGAAAACTCACAGTTCATGAAGAATTCTGGCATGGGATTTATGTTCTGCCGCACCCTGTGTTGTGTTTCTGCACGCTTCGTTTAACCTGACTCATCGTCCTCTACTAACATCTCCCGGTTCTCTTCTTCTGTTTGTTCCCTTTGCCTGTGTAGATCCTTTCATTTCTACAGAAGCTGTCTACGACTCCATTCCAAACTTTAACCCTTTCCTATCACACCCTGTTGTTGATGCTGTCCATCTACCTGTTGAATCTTCCGATGGTGTTAGTTCTAGGACACCCAGTCATGAAATGTTTGGTGGTAAACACATTTTTTCTTTATTTCTCTATTATGGTGGTGTTGTCAAATTGTGCCCATTGTCATATTCAGCCTGCATGCACCATTATGCCCTCTTTCTCCTAGTATTTCCAACTCAAGCTGTGTGGGTGCATGTGGTTGTGTTTACATACGGTATATGATGTAGTGGTTTGGCGCTACCAACGTTCTTTCAGGAATCAGGTGCTTATCGGAGACATTGTAGATCCTTGGTATTCCAAATAAGGAAAGGTGAAAGCATCTCCCATAAATGACCTCACCAACAATGTTTTAAGTTCATGGTGCTCTTTTATTTTTAAAAAGCTGATGCATTTCGACCGTGTGGTCTTTGTCAATTGCTAGCACCATTACCTAAAACCCTTACAGTATATTATTTGCTTTGGTTTGACTGTGTGCCATGATGACACAAGATTTACATTCACTCTGTTTCCTTACCCATGTATGTTCATAGCATATAATGTAACATAAGACTTCTGTCACTTGTTTTTGAATTTTTAAAGTGATAAGGAAAACAATCACATTGTTGCTTGAATTTTATATTTATTTTGTATTATATTTTTGATTCTCCAGATCATTACAATCCCTTTATTGATTCGAGCACCTCCATTGCATCTGATCATGAGCACACAGTGCGGATAGAGCAGTTTATCTCAGGTACTATGATGGGGAATCCAACTGACCTATGTTTTCTGGAAACATAGGACCCTGAACCTACGCCGGGTTCATGTTTGCTCTAGTCTACTTGCTTTCCTGATTGCCGTTTGCTTTTAGTGCTAGTGTTTTGCGTTTGGCTTTTTGAAGAATTCCTTCCTTTTCACAAACTGCTCTGCTAGATTTTACTTTTCAATTTTGACTATCTTCTTCTGCACGTACTTTTCTGGAACTATACTTTTCATTCATCTTGTTTCTCAACGTGCCTTCTAAAACCCCCTCTGTTTGCTGTCCATTCCTCCTGCTTGGCTCTGGTTGTGTGTCAGACTCCTTCTGTGGGCCAGCATCTTACCCTACCACTCCTCTCTTTCAATCTGAGCCCCCCGCTGTAGCAGGTCTATTTGGAGGTAAGTACCTGGGGCTTGCCATTCCTACTGTCCCCTTGTCTTATCTCTGGCCCGAAAAGAAAACTTGGGTGTACAGAATAGATTTGAATGGACAAGAAGGGTGTCCGCAAGATGGCTGAAGATGGTGGAACCATCATACTTAAGTTAACAAGTGAAAGAAATACTTCCATTTTGCACCAGAAAGCTTGATTAATGCCTCAACTAATATCAGCCCCCAACCCTCTTCTGCTTCCTTTGACCCAGGGTTCTCAGCATCTCCCACCCCGCAGCCTCAGACCGCCAGAGGCCTTAATGTCGACTTTGACTCTGTGTTTGGTAACAACGTGGACTCTGCTGGTAAAGATCACACATCCCCCTACCTCTCCCAACTCCCTATCCCTCTCATCACATGCACAAGCTCCACATAGAAGTTACCCTTAGGCACAGCTCAAGGATCAGCTTACCCTCTCCTAATTCGAACCTTAACCATCAGGGGGGAATCACAAAGCTGAACTTAGAACAGTGTCTAGGGGCAACATAATGCTTCTCCCATGGGCGCCACATCCACTCTGCTGCCCACTGGGTCCAACTCGCCTCATGACTGGTGGCAACTCACCTCATGGGCCATCGCAGTGCTTGGGGATTGGATGTTTTGGAAATTACTTCAATATACTTGCAGCGAGTGCTTGATCAATGATTGAGAAAATTTACCACCATGAAATATGGGCATGAATGATTTGCTTCAAAGTTTTCCAAAATAAGTACCGGTATTCATGATTATGTTAGATATTTTTTTGGTGCTATTTTGGATGGGAAAGCACAGACTTCCCTCAGGGATTCACATGCACTATTTTCAATTACTTGTCCGTCATTCGAGACATGGCGGGTTTCAGAACTGGCAAGGTCTGCTATAGTGCCTTTTGAGCTTCTTTAGCTAGCACTTCTTGAAGTCTTTCACTGCCGGGGCCTGCAACATGGCAGTTTGTCATGAATAGAACCCAAAGACTCAGGGTACTGCTTTCCTCAGCATTACACTGTAACATAACACAACAAAACTATATTTTGGTATTTGTTTCATTCATATTGATATAGTCCCAGAATGTTTTGCATGTCAGCAATCAAGTTTTCAAGATGTATAACTTTCAAAATACAGCCAGTATTAGTACTTGGTCCATTTTTATTACAACTGTCTCCAAGATAAAGCACTTTCTGGAAATCAAAAACATTCCATGATACATCATAGGATGTAAAATGCATGATTTTTACGTTTTTTAGTATATTATTCCTTTAAAGTCCAGCTAGTCATTTTATTCCTCCATCACATTGTCTAATCTTGCATGATCTTTAAGGAAAATGGAAGAGCTTAGGAAATTAGTATTGGCACTATTTCAATCTCTCTCAATATAGCCTACTGCCCCTGAGTAGTTATGCCTATGGAGTCATAAGCACGTCACCGATGGGTGCATTTGGCAGCAAAGTGCCTTTTGGTGCTCAATAAAGTTTTAGTGAAGAGCAGAGAATGTACACATGAATGTAATGTGTGGATTTTGGGGCGCTTCGCTCACAATCTCACCAATGTTTTGTTTCTCTCCCTTGTTCATTGGGTGAACACACTTTGGGCCTTGGCTTTTGCATGGCATATGCATGACTGGGTGAGTTGACTACATACTCCTTAGTCCTGGTCAGCCAGCAACTTCATTGTAATTTTCACATGCGACACCTGCTTCCCATTTTGCTCACGTTAACCAACATCCTCTTACCTGTTTCGTCTCTGGTGTTGTGTGTCGTTGTTGTGTGTCGTCTGTGGCGTTCTTTTACTACCTTGTTTTTACTCTCCTACCCTCCACCCTGCCCCCTTTTTTCTTTTAAAACGATGTTTTAGGTGGCATCCTCATACCCACAGTGGCCTCCTCGCCCAGCCAGGTGCTAACCCCCTGCGGGCAGCAGCCTGGGAAGCTTGTGTCTGATGACCTGGACTCGTCCTTGGCCAACCTTGTGGGCAGTATGTATCATTAACATGCTTCTTAGACCTTTCTCCCACTTTACTATACTGGTCCACTGCATATGTGCTATTGATGGATACTCAACATTTTTAGCTGACCAGCTTCCAGATGAAGTGTCACATGCCAGCTTTATTGGACACTGTCAAGTCAGTGGCTCTATGCACTCAACTGACAATGCATTCTCTTTCCTTTTCAGATTTGGGAATTGGCAATGGTGTGGCAAAAAAGTAAGAATGCAATGATAACTAAACTGGAATCACTTTTTTTTACATTTTAGTCATTTAGCAGACACTCTTATCCAGAGTGACTTACAGTTAGTGAGTGCATACATTTTCATACTGGCCCCCTGTGGGAAACGAACCCACAACCCTGGCGTTGCAAGCGCCATGCTCTACCAACTGAGCTACAGGGGACTTTTATTTACCATACTGATGTGGCAGTTAAATGAAAATAATTAACATTTCAAATATTTATTTAGTGATATTCATTGGAGTCAGCCTGGTGAGAAGAAGTTGACAGGTGGAAACAATTGGCAACCAAAGACTGCTCCCTCTACCACATGGAACCCTGCCACCATGGTAGGTTTGTTCAGTATAAGTCTTAACTATAGTTTCTAAAGTTCTGATACAATTTTTTGAATGCATTGATCAATATAAATTATACGATTTATGAAAGGAAATGTGCCATTATCTCATCTGCTTTTGGAATTGTTTATTCAACCCAAACGCTGCTTGGTTTAAGTTCCTGGTGCATACGGATCATATGGACAGAAAGCACCAACTGCCTTTGTTAGTGTGTGTGTTTGTTTTTACTGTGTGAACTAAACTTGTATTTTTTTTATTCTTACAATATTTTCTAATCTCCGTCTCAAATGTCTGCTGCATTGTATAATTGTTCTCCTGGGGAAAAAATACAGAACGGAATGCATTTCCCACAATACGTAAGTCTCAATGGTTGTAACATTTCCTGCTCTTTGACCAAAGCTGGCATGCCTGGTATTAATCCCACACATTCACCCAGCCAAGCGTTCTCTCTGACTTGTGGGCCAAGAGGCCTGGGTCACTCATCACCCACCCTGCGGTCTGCACCGTGGGCGCCTTACGACCTGCTGACTTCAATCTAACACAGATGCGACTGCATGTTCTGTCATGACTGACCTCTCCTCCTCAGCTCAGCCCTTTGTTCTCGAAAGGCTGGTTTATACTAGGTCTAACGACATGTCTCTAGACTATAAGAATACGTCCATGGACAGTCGTTACACCTAGTGAAATTTTTTATAATCCTTTGCTGTCTTTTTTATTGAACTTGTGGTCTCACCTTACTCAGAGCCTGCATTATGAGGGTGATAATGACCTGTATAATAATGACAACTGTTATGACATCATGACAGTCATAACATGACAATATAGTTTAGTAGGGTGATTCTATCTGAATTTCTACAATAAGAACGCACGTTTTGCTACTGTGTGCCCTTCACGTATGTGTTGAGGGTGGTGGTGTTAACCACTAGACCACCCCAACTCTGTAAAAGTTAGCAAGGTCTGTTTCCATAAGCTGATCTCGCCTGTTCACAACACTTTCAAATGTCATTATTAAGACGGTGTAATCCAAGCTCATGACTGAAGGTTCAAGTGAAGGGTTTCCATAAATGTTTTGTGAGTGGGTATAGTGTTCCATAAGAATGTTAAATAAGCATTCTTTAAAAAAAATAATAATAGCCTAGTCAGCTATTATCAAGTGTCCACTGTTAAGGAAATATGCCGAAAGACCATGCTATCGTTGTCTATTGATACTGTTGAGGCCAATGGGAGGAAGGATGAGAAACTGGGGTAGGATCTTGGGTAGCTGTATGATCTATAACTAACATGTTTTATGCTATGTTTTAACCAGATATTACTTTGCTGTAAGGCATCTCCTAGATTTTCCCTCGCGGTTATTTCTTCTGAACAGTGTGCAAAACAGCATGTTGGCTGGGAGCCTATCCAGCACAGTGTCAAAGCTGGCTAGCGAGACCTACCACGATTTGATTATTATTGCAAAGCGACTTTGCTCATTATTTGCATAAAGTTCAACCTTGCGCAACTCTGATAGCATCACCAACAGTCAAGTCTCTGCACATCACCTCCTTTCATTGAAAATTACTGATTTTCCGTTTGGTCATTATAAATAGTATCTGGTGAAAACCCAGAGTTAAGATTTGCCACATTCTAACTGATAATTCAGTGGCAGGTTAATGGTAGTAAAATCAATGACAAAAAAAGTCAATGTTTTTTCATTACGGTGGTTACCCTGGTCACCGAGAATAATGACACTCACCTTTTCTAGCCGTTGAAAGCGGCCATTGTTTTGAAGGGAAATACAGATTTAAAAAAATTGTCGCTGTCTTGTTGGATGTTTGGATGTTCAGTCTCCCTGATACTTGACATCCCCCCAAAAAGAAGTGCTGTACACCAATATTTGTAAGCGTTATGTTTGATTGAGATGGCCTTGTAAGATGTAAACATTTGGGCTACTCAATCAAAACTGGTTTCCAAAAGTTTGTGTTAGGAAAACTCAGATACTTCAAATAATGTTTTAAGCAACATAAACTTTAGTTTTTTCGCCTCACCCTGAACACTTTCTGATGAGTCCTTTGAATCAGAACTTTACTGCCATGCAACAAAGTGGTTGCTAGGAATGGTTTCTGTCCCATTGAATTGACTGTGATTTACGCTAAACCTTCCACAGTGGACTCCGTGGCCTGAAATCTCATTGTGTTTAGTGTTGTTGTCAAATGTCAGAAGGGGCTGGGCTATGATGACTAATGCAGAGGTAGAGTAGCAGGGAGTGAGCTTCTCCAGAACCTGATATTTACCTCCATATTTTCCTATTCAAGTCTGCAATCGTTTTGCATGGCCGATATTGTCTGCCGAGTATGCTTTTATGCAAAGCATTTGATCAATGTGAGAAGTTGAAAAATGGCTGTTGGACTATCGAAACAAGTGCTGACTATGTAATGAAACCCACATTTATGTTTTATATACGTCCACTTGTTCATTCTTTCCGTTTTTCAATGGCTTGATTTGCTAATTAAATATTTCCTTCCTGAGGGTGCCTTTTCATGCAACTGAATGGCCTGTGATGTTGAAACAAATCGGGGTTTGTTACTACACTGAGGGCTGTTTGAGAGTCTAGCAGTTTCTCTATAAAAGCCCCCCTTCTCTGTCTTTTTCAGAAGAGCAGCTCTGCACCTGCAAGTAACAGCTTCTTGCTTCAGGGCTCTCTCTCTCACCCTAACACACACTGTAAGGGTAAACTAGGGGGAATAAGGACAGGCATGCCAAATGTTTCCCAGATGTGCCATTAGTCTTGCCAAAGTGGAAGCAGGCAGGCAATGTGACTGAAGTGTTGCATGTGAATGGGACAATTGTAGCTTGTCTGAGAGATGAACAAAGACAACTTTGTTCAGGTGGGTTGTTTCTGGAGAGGCGGGAACTATACGGACCAAATTGACTAAGCATTTGCACCTGTTATTTTGCAAAAGTGATTAATGAACTAAATAAACATGAATATAAAACTGTCGTTATTTACACTTAGTTATATGCTAACTTTGCGTGAAAGTGACTGAGTGTCCTGGTTTATTGTGTGATCATCTTTGCTTGTCATCACAGGCACCATCTGTCATGGCCTTCCCTGCAACGACGCCGACGGGAATGATGGCATATGGAATGGTAAGTATTTTTTTTTTTTGGGGGGGGGGGGGGGGTGAGATCTTATTTTCAAGCTAATGCAGCCATGCCTCGGAACCTTAAAAAAAATATATATAGATATAGATAGACAGACACACACATTTAGCTCTGGTTCACTCCAGGGCTCGGGTTCATAAAACGTCTCATTGTAGGATCAGTTTTGCCTTTTAGATTATAAGGAATGGACAGAGGGGGCCTGATCCTAGACACTTTATGAATACAGATCTTCCGATGCAAAGGTGCCCATCCCTATGCTTTCAAAGTGGCCACAGGGCCAACTCCTTGCAATGATCAAAATGTTAAATTTCACCAGCATAAACTGTGTACAAAACATTACGAGCACCTGCTCTTTCCATGACAGACTGACCAGGTGAATCCAGGTGACAGCTATGATCCCTTATTGATGTCACTTGTTAAATCCACTTTAATCAGTGTAGATGAAGGTGAGGAGATAGGTTAAAGAAGGATTTTTAAGCCTTGAGACATAGATTGTTTGTTTGTTTGTGTGCCATTCAGAGGGTGAAGATTTAAGTGCCTTTGAACGGAGTATGGTAGTAGGTGCCAGGCGCACCGGTTTGAGTGTGTCAAGAACTGCAACGCTGCTGGGTTTTTCAGGCTCAACAGTTTCCTGTGTGTATCAAGAATGGTCCACCACCCAAAGGACATCCAGCCAACTTGACACAACTGTGGGAAATATTGGAGTCAACATGGGCCAGCCTCCCTGTGGAACACTTTCGACACCTTGTAGAGTCCATGCCCCAACGAATTGAGGCTGTTCGAAGGGCAAAAGGGGGTGTAACTCCATATTTGGAAGGTGTTCCTAATCAAATCAAATTGGTCACATACACATATTTAGCAGATGTTATTGCGGGTGTAGCGAAATGCTTGTGTTCCTAGCTCCAACAGTGCAGTAGTATCTAACAATTCACCACAATACACACAAATCTAAAATAATGGAATTAAGAAATATATAAATATTAGGACGAGCAATGTCGGAGTGGCATTGACTAAAATACAGTAGAATAGAATACAGTATATACATGTGAGATGAGTAAAGCAATATGTAAACATTATTAAAGTGACAAGTGATTCCATGTCTATGTATATAGGGCAGCAGCCTCTAAGGTGCAGGGTTGAGTAACCGGGTGGTAGCCGGCTAGTGATGGCTATTTAACAGTCTGATGGCCTTGAGATAGAATATGTTTTTCAGTCTCTCGGTCCCAACTTTGATGCACCTGTACTGACCTCGCCTTCTGGATGATGGTGGGGTGAACAGGCCATGGCTCGGGTGGTTGATGTCCTTGATGATCTTTTTGGCCTTCCTGTGACATCGGGTGCTGTAGGTGTCCTGGAGGGCAGGCAGTGTGCCCCCGGTGATGCGTTGGGCAGACCGTACCCCTCTCTGGAGAGCCCTGCGGTTGCGGGTGGTGCAGTTGCCGTACCAGGCGGTGATACAGCCCGACAGGATGCTCTCAATTGTGCATCTGTAAAAGTTTGTGAGGGTCTTAGAGGCCAAGCCGAATTTCTTCAGCCTCCTGAGGTTGAAGAGGCGCTATTGCACCTTCTTCACCACACTGTGTGGGTGGACCATTTCAGATTGTCAGTCATGTGTACGCCGAGGAACTTGAAGCTTTCCGCCTTCACTGCGGTCCCATCGATGTGGATAGGGGTGTGCTCCCTTTGCTGTTTCCTGAGGTTCACGAACAGCTCCTTAGGTGGGTGGACGTAGAGGGCAGTGTGAGATAGCTGACACCGCCTGCCGGATTTTGACTGCAGCATGATGGGTTATGTAAAGACTGCTCCCTGTTCTGACTCACTCAACTCCACCAGAGCTTAGCCGGGCTAGA